GTGCTTGGTACACCGTGAGCTCTCAATAATAGTAGCTGTTGTTTTTGTCTCTATGATTGTTAAACTGGAAACATTACCATGGATCAGGTGGATGAAGAAGTTGTCTCAGAACACTTGGCTGATCATACGCCAGCAAATGGCGAGAACAGGTAATCACGATGATGATAATAATAAGACCTATATACCAGCGTCCGACTGAGAATGCAGCTGACACCAAAGAAATGGAGCTGAGAGATGGAGAGGCCATGAGACTGAGCCCTGGTAGCATTACTCAATCCAGTCATGAAGGAATCTGATTCCCTTTGGATTTTCTTACAGGAGTGAATACATTTTCATTCTCCACCCTGCTTTGACGCTTTGATGTAAGCCATGCTGAGTTGGGTTTCTGCTGCCTGATCAAAACAGATGGTCAGCTCTTGGAAAGAGATCACGTGGAGCCAGCATAGGTTAACAGCAACAACAAAAACAGGCCAGGCCAGACTATCTTCATTCCTTTGCTTAAAGTTAACTAGATCAGTAGATCAAAGAAATGCTGTAGGCTAGTGTAACTAAACCAGCAATCTCTCCTGACATCCTTACAAATAAGGAATAAGATGTGGTGGTGGAGGCTGGAGGTGGTGGGGGTCAACAGTACAATACATGGACTAGAGCGCTGGGATCTGCCCATCTTATTAAGGTTATCCATTGGTTCTGTTGGTGCTTTCCATTTCTAAGGCCACCTGAGTCTAAACTCCTACCGCCTTTCTCCTGGACCAGTACAACAGCCTTCTGATTGGATGCACAGCCCCAAATGGAGTGGTCATTCAAAAACATAAAACTGGGGGTGGCTGGTTCGCTCAGCTGGTTAGAGTGCAGTGCCCATAACACCAAGGTTGCCGGTTCGATCCCCACATGGGCCACCAAGCTGCGCCCTCCACAACTAGATTGAAACAGCTACTTGACTTGGAGCTGATGGGTCCTAGAAAAACACACTACTCCCCAATATAAAAATAAATACATAAAATAAAATAAATTTTAAAAACAAACAAACAAAACACATGGAACTGACTGCTTTACTTTCCTGTTCGAAACCCAGGCAAGTCCTCCCTGACCCACATCCCCCTTCCAAAGAACCACTCCTTTCCCCAATAGTTATTTTTCCTATTCTATCTATTTTACTGGTTCATTCAATAGAGTGTAAGCTCCACAAGAACAGGAATCATGTCTGTCTTATTCATCAACACATTACCTAGTGTCTACTCCAGATCTAGCACATAGTAGGTGCTCAGTCAGTTGAATTAATAACTGAATGATTTGGCTGAACACTGGCAGAATAATAATCAAATTGCCAATGACACTATTACAAGTGCAGTTAGACGAATACGATCATATACAACTCTAGGAAGCCACCAAAAAGTGGCTTGAGGTCAGGTAAGAGATAGCAACTCCTCTTCAATTTTATATAAATAGAATTATACAGCATGTATTCTATTTTGTATCTGGCTTCTTTCAGAAAAATTATCTTGAGATCCTTCCATGTTATGGTATGTATCAATAGTTCATTACATTTTATTGTCGAGCAGTGTTTTATTGTATGGATATACCAATTTGTTTAGCCATTCACTGGATAAACAATTGGTTGTTTCCCATTTCTCTATTACAATAAAGCTGGACCTAGTAATTAAATGTCTGGATCACATGATAGGCATATATTTAACTTTTTAAGAAAATGTCAAACTTTTTAAAAGTGGTTGAGACATTTTACATTCCCACCAACAATGTGTAAGAGTTCTAGTTCCTCCACAACCTCATCAACACTTGGTGTATTCAGTCTTTTTTCTTTTTAAAGATTTTATTGGGGAATTGGGGGAGGGGAACAGCGTTGGGGAATCAGGGAAGGGGAACAGACAGGTAGACAAATAGCTGTTTTTTTCTTCAGTCTAGTTGTGGAGGATGCTGCTTCACTGGCCCATGTTGGTGTGATCATTGCGCTCTTCCCGGGTGAGGCAATCGGTCACCAGTCATTGGTCGGCTGCTCATGGTGGCTCACAGCGGCTCTCGCCTGCTGCCGGCCACCCATGCTGGCTGCCAGCCACTCACATAGCTCATGGCAGCCCACTGCAGCCCCGCTGCAGCCTACGCCTCACTGGCGATTCATGGCAGCCCAGCTCCAGGTCGAGCTGTTGTTCACCATCTTGGCTGGAGAGGGCGCAGCGTCACTGGCCCTAATGTGGGATCTGAACCTGGGTCCTGTTGCTCAGAGCTGGTGTCCCAAGACAACTCTTAACCAATGTGCCACTCGGCCGGCCCTCATTGTGGTTTTAATGTGTATTTCCCCAATGATTAATGATCTTGAGCATCTTTTCAAGTACTTATTTGCTACCCATCTATCCTTGTTGGACAGCACGAATTGTTCATTTGTTTGTTTGTTGAAATTACAAAAGGTTCTCACTCATTACATTGCTAGATCAACAATGCAGAAATTCACAAAGAATGAATAGCCCCCACAACCAATCCCCAATGTAAGTTACCAAAGGTGCATAAGGATCACCAGGAACATGTATCAAAGCATGCACATTTTAGCCCCCACTCTGGAAGATTCTGATTCAGTAGGTCAGAGATGCCGCATTTTTAACAAGCCCCTAGGCGATTCTGATGCAAGCAGTCTGTGGATCATCTCTTGAGAAATTCTGCTCTTAAACTTGTCCTACATAGGGATGGTTGAAGGGATGAAGGAGGTGTGTCTGGCAGTGCATCTGGAGGGGAAACTCATGCAGGAGTGCACAGGCTGCCTTCAAATAAGGAAGAGCCTTTGCCTGAGTGAGCTCATTTGTTCTATATTGTACAATGGAGCCTCTAAAGTTTGGAACCTAAAAGTCAAATTAAAAAAAGCTTTCTGACAGAAAGCTACTGTGAAACAAAATCAGGCCACAGAGTCAGGAAGGAACTTTGACTTTGACTTTCCAAAGTCACCGGGCTTGCAGAAAAGAACTTCTTTGGGTTGAAAATGACTGATTGGGAGTAAGGTAGACAGTGGACAAGAGAAATCCCAGACACATACGGTATATACATTCATTCATTCATCTCCCTCTCCCTCTCCCTCTCCCTCTCTCTCTCTCCCTTCTAAGGAAAAATTCTCCTTTTATAAACACATGGAGAGGAATGTAACCCATCAGACAGGTAGTATGTGTCTTAACCCAAATTAAATAGCAGCTATTTGCCCTAAGCCATATTTCCTTGGCTCTATTTGCAAGGCCGAAAATGGTAGAGAAAAGAGACAACACTGTATTTTGTAAGAGCAGTCCTTTTTATAGATAACTAGGCCTGCCCAGACCCTGTCCCAAAAATCTGGAATCCATAGATTTTTAAATTCTTAAGCTTGTCAATAAACAAGCAATGGGCTTTGGAAAATCAAGGTCAACAAATGCCACTTTGCTTCAGTTGCAGCACCCAAAGACATCTCCCCCTCATCAGTTAAATAAAAAGCCATTTATTTGACCTAGAGCAGAATCAACCAAGGCACTGTTTACCACAAGCTGCTGATCCAAGAGGGATGTGAGCCAACTGCCGGCAACTCCTGTACCCTGGCAGAAACTCAGCTGAGTAAGACTGGGTGTTGCCCAGGTCCCCATGTATATCTTCCTTTCCTCTCATTTAAAAACAAACCATACAGGTGCTGGCTCCATTCAAAAGAGGCAAGTGAGGCCCAATAAACAGTCCTTGTTAGAATGCCTGGTAGTTTCGTTTTGTTGTTGTGTTTTTTGTTTGTTTGTTTGTTTGTTTGAGTGTCTGGTAGTTTCTACTTTCAGTAATCCATCAAATATTGAGTGTAGTGCATTATTCTAAATAAGGGCTAATTTAGATTACTATCATCAAGGTATATGCTGCCATTTGTAAGTCATGATAGGGTTGACTTCTATTTGCAGGTTTATAACTTTTTAAATTTTGCTTTATTTCAGGTATAGCCCAGTTTCCTCCAGGTCACCACCCTTTCCAACTGGCACAGCTATGATTCACTGGGTTATGTGCACCAGCAGTTTTACTGAGCACTCACTATGTGTCAGGATACAAACTCTTACTATGTGCCAGGATACAAACTGTCTGAAAATAGCCTGAAGGATGAAGCAGACAATCTTATCTCCATTTTACAAAGAAAACTGGGCCTTGGAGAGGGTAATCTGTGTGTCCAAGATCACACAGCTGGTGGCACCAGGGCGCTGTCTGGACTCACTCTTTCGCCGGCTTCCTCCCTTTAAAAGAGGAAACTGCTCTGAAGTTGCGCAGCCAGAGTGCCAGCCTTGTCATTCCCCAGAGCAGAAATGCTTCATGTCCAACTTGAAACCGTGTGCAAGGTTATGTGTGAACCCCTCGGTGGGGAGGGGATCCAGTTTTCTAAGAGGTCAGTGACCCCAATAAGGTTAAGAACCAGCGCCTGGGCGGGCTGTCAGCTTTTGCATTCCCCTCTACGGTGCAGGTGCTCAATGGGTAGGGAGCATTGGAGCGAAGCCCGACGTTCTGGCTTCCAGCCTCAGCTTTGGCACCAATTTTCTAAGGACCCTTGGCCAAGGCAGCTCACCTTATGGACCACAGATATCCGTTCTCTTCTCCCCTGGCCTTGACTGTCTATAATTATACTTTCCTTGGCAAGGATTCTTTAGCATTGTTCGATTATTTCACTGTTTTAACATATGGATTCTTACTAACCGTCGCCCCAAATCCTATGGTGACGCAGGCAGGTTTAAACAGACCCAAAGAATAACTAGTTTTTACTAGACCGGCTTACCTCTCTGGGCCTCAGTTTGCCACCTGTAAAACGACTCAGTTGGGTCACATGGATCAGGTGACTTTCATTCCCTAAGGCTCAAGACACACAAAGCTGGCTACCAAACAACATGGGACCTGGCGTCATCGCTCCCGCGCTCCCCCACCTCCCTTTTCAGATCTGACAGCAGCTGTTCCCCCCCCCCTCCCCCCGAAGGCGCCCCCGTCTTCCCGCCCGGTGTCCTGCCAGGCGGACTCACCGCGTGCTATGTGCCGGTGCCCTAGCTCAGAACTCGGCCACCCCGTGACTATGCAGCCAGGGCAGGAGGGGCACCGGGCTCCCGGGACCCGCGCCACGCCAGGCCTCTGCTCCGCGGTCCCCACGGTGAGCGCGGCTCTGCCCACGCTGCGTGCGTGCGTCAGGAAGGGGTTGCCGGATCTCCAGCCTTTGTTAATTGTCTTTCTGGAGCCAGGTTGTTTTCCACTTGCGGCCCAGCGGCAGCAGCAATAGCCCCGAGCTGGCTCGCAGCCAGCAGCGTGAAGTTGCCAAGTGGGTGTTAGCGCCGCCGCACCCAGGGACACACACCCCCGTGGCTTCTCATTAAGTAGCTTTCTCTTTTGGGCTCCTCACCCAGAAAACAGGTGGGAATGTTGACGTCCGGAACAGAAGCCACTGATGGGAATGTTGACGTCTGGATCACTGGATTTCTGTGCTCCCGCCGAATCAATAAACTTCAGGGCTGGACACTGATTTAATTCTGCGTGTGGGCTACCCAGGACCCAGCTTTCCTGAGTGCCCTCTGCGCAATCTTAGACAAATCTGCCCGTCTCCCTACACCCCAGTTTCCTTTTCTATGTGGAGGTGTTTGTCCTTCTCTCACTACTGTGAGTGGGACACTGCTCCAGGCACTAAGTGTTCAGCAGTCAACAGGCCAGACCAGTTCCCGGCCCTCTAGGGGGTGGGTCCAACATCCAACACACAATTGAAAGAGATCATTGCAATGAAAAGTATGAAAGTTTCGTATCAGGGCAATCAAACCTTCTTTGTGGAATCATGGAATAGGTTGATGTTTCTAAATCCTCCCAGTTCTAACATTTATTCTTAGCCTCGTTATTAAAGTTTATTATTTATTATTAGTGATAGTGATAGACTAGCACTAATATTGCTTACTAAATGCCAGGTGCTATACTAAACGTTTTCCTTGTTTTTTTTCTCATTTATCTCACTCACAACATCTCTAAGAAATAGGTATGCTGCTGCTGCTATTGTTATCCTTATTTTAGAGAGAAAAACAGGTTAGAGAAATGAAAGGAACTTGCCCACAACAGCTCAGTAACAGGACCACTATTCAAATTCAGGCTGAGGCCTCAAGGTGCTTAACCAGTATTCTACATCCATACAAATAGGAAGACCAGAATGGAGTTGTATCTTGAATCAATGGATGAGAACAATGGAAGAGGAGGGGGTGGGTTTTAGCCTGTAGAGGAGAAAAGAAAAGCAAGTGAGAGCTTTCTTAAAGAGCTGTCCATGGATTAGACTTAACCTGTATGACCTTAGCGGTCACTAGCATAGGGAAAGCTATAGGGAGACACATTGCAAACCTGTAAGGAGGGACATCCCTAACAACCAGAGCATTTAAAAAAATGACATCAGTCACCTGGAGAGAGTGAACTACCTGTTACTAAAAGTCAGCATTCAAGCAGAGAGGCTTATTGGAGACACTTTAAAGAAAACTCACGTAAAAGTTAAAGACTGATTTAGGTGATCTCTAGGTTTCATTCCAATTTTGAAGGAAGTCTGAAGGGAAATTGAATCCTAGAGTGGTTAAGTGACTTGTCCAAAGTCACCCAGGGAGGGAAGACCTGACCTTAAAACCAAGTCTGGGGGCGGGCAGTTGGCTCAGTGGGTTAGAGCACAGTGCTCATAACACCAAGATTGTCAGTTCGATCCCCATATGGGCCACTTAGTTGTGCCCTCCACAACTAGATTGAAACTACTTGACTTGGAGCAGATGGCTCCTGGAAAAATACACTGTTCCCCAATAAAATTTAAAAAAACAAACAAAAAACCAAGTCTGACATCTTGATCACACTTCTTGTTTGTAGGTGAGGGTCTTGTGAGTGCTCAGCACCTCAGTTTAAACTCCTGTAAAGTGTGTGTGTGTGTGTGTGTGTGTGTGTGTGTGTTTTTCCTGGGTGTGTGGAATCATCTGCTTTATCTATTTTATTTTACATTACCAATGTGTGCTTTTCTTCTTTGTGTTGAGTGTTCTGTTTTCAGATACAAGTGTCAATCTCCCCTGGTCAATTGCTATATTATAGGGGTCCACAGGTGGCAGGGTCCCACTCCCCTGGAGATGCATTTGGTAATTAAAGGAAAAGGAGACAAGCTGGATAGTGTTTTCATCTAAAGGTGATGTTTCTTTGATTCTACTTTAAGACTCTGGGTTATCTCGAGTTAAATTTCTAATGCACTCTCATCCTTGTCACAAACATTTTGATGAGAAGCAATCCAGTTGCGCCTTCACACGAAGCAGTCTTTTCTCAGTGCTCTAGAGAGCTACTTGTTTTTTCCTGCTGGAAACCTCTAATGAAGGAATCCATTTGCCTTTTGGGATTAATTTCTAGAACATTTACAAAGAAACAGATATCACCTTGCCCCCCATGACACTAAGTTCAAGACAAAAAGTATTCCCTTTTCATTTCTAATCTCAACAGAGTGATCAATTTTTAAATTTCCTTTTGAAAAGAAAATATACTTACCTGGTTCAAAATTCAAAAGTATACTGTCAGGGCTACAGCTTATTGATCTTGGAGTTCTCTCAGTACCTGGCTTATGGCCTTGTGTATAGAAGGTGCTGAGTAAGTGTTTATTGATTGGGTGGATGAGAGAATGTGAGTTAAGAAGTTGTGGAAGATAGAGCAAGAGGTGGTTTAGGGTGGGGTGGCGGACATTTTGCCTGAAGTGCATGGGTTTAAAGAAGTCCAACAGAACTTACAGACCAGTTGCAAACTTGACCATGACTTTATCCAGATGTTTGTACTAAAAGCAGCAGCAGCAGCAGCAGACTCTTTCGGGTTGAATATTTCCTAAAGACTGTGGACTAGCCGGAGTCTTTCGGTTGTATGCAACTAAAGCTGATTCTGGCTAACTGCAGCAGAAAAAGAATTTATTGAAAGAGTAGTGGGGAGCTCGAAGAATCAATGGAAAGGCTGGAGAACCAGGCTTAGGAATACAGGTGGGCACCAAGGGAGCCTGGTGGCCAGAGCCACAGAGGAAAGCACGCCACTCCTGCTGGACACTGGTGATGCCCTGGGGACTTAGTGCCATAGCTGACCCACCTGCCATCACTGCCACCAGATGCTGAATGTCACCTCTACCAGCATCAATCTTACACACTGCCTGCTTCTTTTGACTCCTGTCTCCAGAATCACAGTCCGGGAGGGACTGGCTGACCAGTCATGCTTGGGTTCCAAGCAGTCAGCGGTCAGGAAAAACTGATACCAGAGCCTTCCGGCTTCCCTGAAGGAGATGCAGGACCCTGCCTCGCACAACGTCCTGTTCCCCAAACTTATAAAAGCAATCTGGGCGGCCAAAAATATGACAAATGTCCATTATGCAGTCGTCTTCTAATAATTTGAAGAAAGAATTAGAGTATCATCTATATAAAATGCTTAATACAGCACCTGAGCTGAACTCTCACAATCAGAAGAGGTGTCTGTCATACTTAGTACTCAACTTTTTAATTTAAATAATTTATTTACAGCACCAATATTTTCTTCCCAAACCTCTCCTTTTCCTTGTTGGAATCACCTGCAATTGCAGTGTTGAGCACAGAAAGGTTGAGAAAAGATGACTTGTGCCAAATGCTTATTTAGCAGCATATTGGGGGGCAGTGTCATGAGCCTCATAAGTCCAATTTACTTTTCTGATAAATTAAAAAAAAACTGCCATCTTGGGATGATATCTATGTTTTCATTCAACTTGGTGAAATCTTCTACCACTAATTTCTACAGTAATAATAAAAATAGATGCTATTTACTGAGTACCTAATACATGTCAGAAAATATTTATGGATTATTTCTAATTCTGACAATTATCCTATAGGATATATTATTTGCACTTTATAGATGAGGATATGGAAGCTCAGAGGGAGTAAGTAATCTGTCCAAGATTACATGGCTCCTAGGTGACGAGTCATAGCCAAGTCCACTATTATATACTATCTCTCATGTGTTTGCTTTCTCCAAATTACCATCACCATTTTTTTTTAATTCTACTAAGTCCAAATATAAGTTTTGTGAATTATTTTTTCTGAAATATTAAATTGTCAGAAAGACAAGTCAAGATTTATTGGTTGCCACGTCTTTCGCAAAATTAAACTTTTATTAGGTAACAGGCTAGTGTGGTAACCTCATTACTAATGTATAAAAATTTTTTGTAACAAAGAGTGTCTGCTTTATTGAGCCCCTATTATAAGCCAGGTACTCTGCTAGTCAGCCCTAACAGGTAAGTATTACCATCTTCTTTTCATAAACGAGAAACCTGAGATTTAAAGATTCAGAAACTTGTCAGGGGGCTGGCTGCCAGGAAGTGAGAGATCTGGGACTACACCCCAGCAGTAGGACCCCAAAGCCTGTGTTTTTTTCCATCGTGTCATACCCTCTTTGGGCCAGTTTCATCATTTGTATTGAGAAACACCATTTAGTATCTGTGGAACAGTCCTGTTCTTAATCTGTAGAAATATGTGGCACTTTAGCTTTGAAGCTTAGGAGATTCCCTCTAAGTCTACTTTACTAGAACTCTATCACTGAATAAATGCCTGTTCTAGCAATTGACTTTCAGGTCATCAAGAGGTATGACTGCCAGTTTGACATGGGAGCTGGACCTGGGCTCCCCACGCCCTCTGTGCACTCTACTTGCCCTCCCCAACCTAGAAGCTGCCCAGGGACACAGCCTTGAGATAGTAATGTGGTGATGAGACCATCTGGACTGGGTACATGACCAAACTCTGTTAAGGCCTCCTGTACAGATGACTATATAAACTTTTAAAATTTGGCAGGGTGGGTGCAGAAAATTAGTCGTCTTGTGGTCGTCCAAGACAAGACTCATTAGTTCCCTTGCTTATTAAACCTGCCACCTGCCAGTCTGGAGTGGTGTGCCTTTTCCTTCTGTTTTCCCCTGTCCTCTGCACATGGGGGCTGGGAAGTTTCAGGTTACACCTGGGAAGCTCCTGAAGAAATTGCAACACAACAACCTGATTTTTTAGCCCAGTTTTGGGGAACTTCTTTGCTTTACCATATTTCTTATTTAGTCAGGACTCCTTTGGTCCCAGTACTAGAAATCTACCTCATTATTCTGGAAACAATAAAGTCCATTGGAGGACCAAAGACCAAAGACAAAAAGACCATCTCTGCCTGCATGTCTCTTCAAGAGAGCAAGCCCTCCAAAAGCTCTACAGCAGACTCTTCCTCCCATCCCTTGGACTAGAATAGCATTTCCATACCTAAACCAATCACTACCTGACTTAGATGGATGAAGGCAACATTGGGCCAGCCCCTCTCTGAAGCACGTAGTCATGCAGCCTTAATAAAACTGGAGTTTTGCTGGGAAAGAGAGAGGACAAGGGGGAATGCTCTTGAGTAGGCAGCCAAGAGCGTCTGCTGCAGGAGAGGGCAATTCTGCAGGGAAGTTGGGGAGCCCCTCAAATACTACTCTAAGTTCCCCAACGCTACCACTTTCCTGGGCATTTAATATTTGACTGTTCAGATTCAACTAGGTAATTTTGGCTATGCATGATGTTAGGCCACAGAAGCCAGCTAAAGTTGTAACAGCAAATGGACATATCCACAAGATGGCAGCATTGCATAACTATTGAAAACCATGTTGTGGCAC